GAATTCATTGATTTTTCAAATCTATATTGTTGACCTTTAAAGATACTTTCCCACAACAGTATTTATCGGGTGGTTATTTCCATTAAGAGTATGGCAAATTTTGGTATGTATCAAAAGTAGAAACATCCAATCTTACTAGAAAAATACCGGATTCCCCGAAAAACACCCATGGAGCACATACAGGACAAAAATGTAAGGGTTCTGTTTCCCTAACCGACAGAGAGAGAGAAATGGGATTTAACGTCCACTCGACAAAAACTAGGTCATTTCAGAACTAACATGTGGTTAATTTTTTTTTCAATAATTTGCTTGTGCGTGGGTGTCTTTAGCAGTGGGAGGAAACCAGAGGACCCACGAGATTGGACAGGCGACCCTACTTGTCACGTACAACCGGGGAATTGAAACCTGGCCAGTTGACTCAATGACAGACCTTATGTTACAGAGCGCACACGCTAATCATTCGGCCATCCAAATTCCCCCTCCCTTAACTGACAACCCGACGATTAGGGATGTCTGCTTGAGTGACATCAAAGGATGCACACAAAGATTGTCTTATTTCCCAGCATTTATAAACTTGATGGTAAGCTTTAACGTACAACAATTTCTGAGATAAAAACCACAGAAAAAGACATGGGCAGTGGATAATCAGAGAATCTAATTATGCTTCGATATTTATAATAAATGGACATTGATTTAAGACATCATCATCTTGTAAATGAATTCTCCTCGGCATCAAACCCGTTGCTAGGTACTGCGTCAGCCAAGTCATATGACACAAACATGAAGTTTTTAATAAATTTTTTATAGCAGGGATTCTCCCTCACGAATACAATGTTTTGAGAAGGACTTGAAGCAAAATTTTGATAGATTAAAGATACATTATGCGAGAGCTAAATCTGCCTATTGCAGCGTCTTTCTTTAGGCCTGAAATGTTATCTAAATCATGAATTAGACATTAATTAACTTATCCAGACCATAATCAACTCTCGATGCCATCACTAGTCTGCGATATTTAGCGGATTGGAATACATTTTTTGAAAAATAATTAAAACGTAAAAATGGATAATCAAGACTTTTTTTTTTCATCGTACCGACTTTAGCAATGATGATCAAGACTAACGTAAAATTCAAAAGCTAATATCTTGGTTGAGAGAGGAGCAATTTGACTGAAATTTTCAGCATATTCTATTTACGTTATCTATTTTTTAACTATTATAAAGAGAATGTCAACTCTTTATCTAATCTCCCATAATGCCCCTTTAATTAGTTTGAATATGTTTTTAGTCCAAATACAGTGCACTCTGTCACATCCGACCTTTCTGCACATTCAAAATTTTATTACATAATTTTTATTTCATTTAACATGCGTAGGCATTTTAAATAGGTCAAGTCTGTCGTTAATTTATCTTCTTCGCCGTCTTCAGTTGATCGCACTCTTGTCTTTGCTATCACGTGTTCATTGATAATGGGCGTATTCGATTGAACGTTCCGGAATTGAATTCTCTCTATCCCAAAAGTAGCGACAATCGAGTGAACATGGGTACTTCGGACTACAACGCATGCGTCGACTGGATATATAAATATCTCATCCAACCATGCAGCCGAAACCTGTTCGTCGTGTTTAATTACGTCACAATTCTACTCACACCACCTCCGTCGTCGGGACTGAGAGAACTGTGACAGGACTGAATTCCGCGTCACTCGATTGCAATTCTGTCAATTCGGGACGTTCCGGACTGTGACTCGAGCATCCCAGGTCGTCGGCACACGGTGCGAAGAGATCCGTAGGGTTACCAAACTTATAGGTTATTCAGGTTCAATCGGCATGCGCAACGAATGTTTCCAACAGGTGCTAGGAATATTTTTACGACTGTGAATTCGGGGGGAAAATTCGTGGATATTCTTGAGTATTTGTCACAACTGTCGTACAAGAGATTACAATTATCAAAGTAATCAACAAAGACCCATGGTAGCGAGTTTTAATCTCACAGATAATTGATTGGTGATTACTTGTTAATCTTTTGTGGCTTCACACCCATCCAGTTTTAATCTCACGGATAATTGATCGGTAAGTGTTTGCTTCACACCCACCGATTGAAGGCCGGATTATACGGTGTCGATTCAATGGAAATCGTATGACGGGGCAGCTGATTGATGTCGTACTCCGGAACGTACAGAGGTCGAATTACCCAGAGATTTTTTGGCTGAAGTAATAAGGAAATAAATCGGGACATGAAAATAGTGTCGGATGTAACAGAGTGCCGGAGTGATCAGAAGTCGAATGTGACAGAGTGCACTGTACATGTTTGTATGCGGGAAGGTATCTTTAACAAAATATCAAATGTTACTCAAAATCTACATATTTTCATATGAAATAAAGCATTTTATAAATGTCTACATTATGATTATTGTCTTATTGCACTTCACTAGAAGCGTCAGTTACATGTATTTCTATAGCACTACACTACAAGTGAGAGTTACATGTATTTGGACAGGCAACCCTACTCATTGTCACGTACAAGCTGGGAATCAAATCCACACCACTGGACTCAATGACAGACCTTATGATCTAAAGTGCACACGTTAAACCATTAGCCCCCCCCCCCCCCACACACACACACACACACACCTTCTTTTTTCTCAAATAGCAAAATGGCAAATATTTAGTGACATACCTCGAATTGTCGTTCCTTTTGCATTCTTCGTTGAGCCATAACGCCTTGAAGTTATTAGGCGGATTTTACAGGTATATTTAATGCATAGGCAATCTCTTTTTTGAAACTTTTATATTTCATTTTATTCTGTTTCTCAAAATAACTAAATATTGCTTGATACATTGCTTGAGATCTCACATATTTTTCATCATGAAATTGTGCAGATCATGAAATGAAATGAAATGAGGTTTAACTGTTCTGCTCCGACCGGGCTAATGAAGACGGGCATATGCCATATCGTGTGCTATAAAGGGCATTTTACCCGAGCAGCGGCACTATGCCCTACTTTTATATCGAATTCCAACTGCCAAGGGACCTTTTCCATGCATTCCAGTGTATATACTGGACCTCCGTTCTGCACCACTGACAAGGGGAAACCACGTCGGAAAATCCAGATGAACTTTCTCAGCCAATGCATTTTGACCTGACCATAATAAGAGAGACCATCCAAAAACTATGCGGTGATGTCCAGTATGTAATTGTATTTATTTTAATCTGATTACGGTACATAACCTTGATTTAAAGGAGCTAAATCGCTAACATTTGGGACCTAGAAATTCACAAAAGTGGGTCGCAACGCATATAATACTGTAATATGAATGTATATAAACTGATTTACATTTAATGGTTTCCGTTTTTACTCCAATTTCAAATCAGTTATGTTCGGCGAAATAAGTCATCTATCTCAATCGAGTGCAAATTTTTAGCGTCTACATGTAGTTATTCTAGTCTACATAACTCCATTTGATTTGGTGCAATGTGTCTAGCCTCGTCCCTCAATACAACTGGGGCTGAAGCGCATTATGGTACACGATTCGTGTACCAATGTTAAAAAAATTATTTTATCTTAAATATCGGATATCAGAGGCTCATCTTTTCCCGGTAAGTTTACATCATCAATGTTGATTTAAATTGACCAATAATTCGTGTTTTCGATGTCGAAGATTTTGGAGGATTTTGAGTTACGGACTTAGGTCCTTTAAGAAGTGTATAATATGCATAACTTGTGTAGAATCCGCGGCCAACAGGAATATTAAAACAATGGATCGAGGAATCCGATACGGAAGTGTTCTTCACTAGATAAATATTAAAGTAGATAAAAAAAAAGACACTAACACTGTTTTCATCATCAGATATTGTTAGACCAACGTTTCGAAGAGGTACCCTCTTCTTCTTCAAGGTATTAAATAAAACATTTAAAAATAATCTCTAACTAACTCTACGGAAACAGAAATGACATCATAGAGAACTATGACGAAGACTGTGGAACCAAGAGCACGTGAAAAATATATACTACATTTTACAACATGTCATTCATTTCGGGAGTCAGTCTTTTTTCGTCACGCTTATCCAGACATAATAAATGCATGGAAATATTTGTTATGCGTCTGGAAAGATTGATTACTATGTTGTGTGTCTTCACTCGTTTCTCTATTGCCTAGTCTGGTCATAATATTCATGATTTTCGATGTGAAATAACTTTTACAATGATCAAAACAATGCTTGAATTAGTAATTAGTTGGAAGCTGCCGATTTGCAAAACTGAAAGTTTGGCATTCAAAGCAGTTTCTGCACAATAAAACATAATGAATCAATAACAATTTATTTACATGCATTTTCAATTAATTATGTATGATTTTAAACTCATGACGGCTATATATGTGACATTGACTAAGACAAAATTACACCCAGTTCATCATTGCCGTGGGGTAATTCAGACCACATGACATCAACATGAAATATGTCGTCTGGAATTTGCTTAGCACCTGTAAATCTTCGTAAATGCTTGGTGTCGAAAATTCCATCCACAATACAATTCATGTCGTGTGACACCAGTAACTTGCAAGTTATGCGCAAAAAATGAATAAAAAAAAATAATATTTTCCAAAATAGCAATAACCGCCAAAATTTAATAACTGCCGTAGGCTACTGTAAATACACGTAGGCTATTATGGTAAATAAAAGAAAAGTGTTACATTTAATTAATAAGCTTAATTATTGAGTATTCATGATAAATTGTAACTGCACCTCAAATGACCAAAACTGCTAATCAAAACTGCTAATAATATTTTTATTTGATTAGTGAAATTTATTAAATCTGCTTCGCAATGCTAACCAATCGTCGACATTTATTTTGTTCCCGGACATGTATCGGTACTGTATTTGGAGCAAGTGGGTTTTGTTTATGTTGAAGTGAAGAGTTGTCCTTGAATTTACTCGGAATTATGCATTTCAACAACAACAGTGACACAGTTTGATATTATAAGAGCTGCTATGTATACTTACAACTGACTCTTTATTTGCAATGAAGACGTGGCATTCAAAATCATTGTTCAGTTGTTGCCTTCTTAAATAGGCAAAACATCTTGGATCTTGATGCAATTTGGCAAATCTTGTCAGATCTTTTAATTTGTGATCAAAGAGGTCTTGAAGACCTTCAGCATCGCATGCTGTACATTTCAGGTTATGTGACAGAACTTGAAGCGTTACTTCTCGAGATCCATATTTTCTTCTTCGGATCTCTGTCATAACCCATGGCTGCACACTTTGTGTATATCTTCTGTCCATTACAGATGACCCCATGTAAATCACCTCGAACACTCTTTTAACATTTGGATGCGTTGATCCGTGACTGTGTGAAACGGTCTTCAAATTAGCCGAAGTGTGGCTGTGTACCTCATTCTTTGACTCCATCCTGCCTTCCTGGACCCTATGATTGCCCGAAAAGTACTTTAACTCAGACTAAACAGAAGTCGAAAATAAATGTCATTGCGTAAGTTATTCTACGTAACTTTTTCCTTGTCGGTGTTACACTTTTAATGTGTGCACATCAAAACGAGAGGAAAGGTGTGAGGTGTCGTTTGAAGGCAATTCATAAAGTCATAAAGCAGACGAATAGCAAAGGCCAAAGGCACGACCGCAATCAGTCTTACAAGCTGTTTTCCAAAAAAACATTCCGTTAATTTATTTTGACAGCACAATGAAAGGTATGAAAATATTTACACGAACAAAGGCATTGGCAAGTTCCATTCGGCGATGCAATATAGCAGTCCATATATAAACAGAATCGCAGGATATTCAACCTAACCTGTTTACTCTTTTACAAGGCCGCCATTGATGTTGTGTGACGTCATACTGTACTAATTAAATCGAAAGAATCTTTAAAAATAATACTGTAGGCCTTGAGGGTTATTTTCTAAGACTAACGTGTGAACATAAATCTTAACGACTCTTTTCATGACAATGTATATAATCGTTCATAATTTACACAGCGAACGATTGCAATAACTTTAATATTCGATGAACCGGAAGTAAATAGAAGACTGCGAGGGGTCACGACCGAACACAAATTGGCAGGCAATAGACTATTATCAAACCAGTTGACATTAACACAGCCAATAACACAACTTGCTCCAAGTTACTGGTCATACGTCCCGGTTTTGGGGGTTCTTTTTGTCTCATATATATATATGCCTTAATGTACCGGTTTTTAATCAGTTTTTTTTTTTCATTTGAAAATAATAACACAAAACACATAAGGGTATCAAAATCAAAAAACAGTGTGATTGGTTTTATTTGTTTGTGAAAGATCGTCAAAACATGTACGTCGCAAAAAAAAAAAAACAAAAAAAAAACAGGCTATTCAAAAACAGGCGTGGATATAAATTACGAACTGGCTCCTACAAATACTAATTTATGTGACAAACCGATATAATGTGCCCCACAGCATATATTTTAAGTGCAACTACCATCACAAAATGGCCGAAGGCGCATCACCCAGGCAGGGGCGTAAATTCCGGGGGGGGGGGGGCTGTTATCTAACTTAAAACATAGCACGGATGGAGATACAAATAATGGGTAGTTTTCTAAAAGAACAAGCCATATAAATAATGGATATATTCTTAAAACAGCATGCAAATAAATGCATATAACCAAACCAAACATTCCAGTCATAATGCAAGCATACATAGACAGTCCAAAATATTCTTCAAGTGGAGACGGCATATTTATAAAACAGTCGAAAACAAATATTAATGGATGAGAATATTTGTGATAAGCATTTGGGTACTGATTACATTTGGTAAGATGATATGAAACATAATAGCCGTAGAAATTGTGATGTTTTTAATATGGGGAATAATAGCCGTCAAAGTTGTGATGGAAAGGATACTCACGAAAATGATTTAGATATTGATAATATTCTTAGTACTGTGGTTAATGTGGATGGTACTAGCCGTCCAAATTTTGATTTGAAATTTAATATATACTCTGATATATGTGACAGTAACACTGGATCAAAGGCACACACCAATTCACGAAATTCGAACTCAACCGTCATTATGGTGATATAGGTTTCACAAGCTAAAAACGCATTTTTGTGTTCAATCAGGGGCCATAATCCAGAAGTTACAGCCCAATATGCGCCAATATCGCAAGGTTTAGGTACTGTTCAGTTTCAACAAAATGGGATAAAAAAAATTGTGACCTCTAGAGTACGGTACCATACAGTGACAACCATAATCCATGCAGTTATGGTCCCATTCCCGCCAATATCGAAAGGAACTGGGATCTTTGGGATATAAACCTATATTTCAAGTTATGACCTGTAGAGTGTCCACAAATAAAATGTGAACGGACGTCCGGACGGACATAGGCGACAAACACAGATGTGAACGGACGGACGTCCAGATGGACATAGGCGACGTCAATATACGTCCACATGAAAATGTGGTCGTATAAAAACGTGTCATCGATCAAGTGCCGAACAAATTCACGGACAACAAAATAGATAATATGGAAACAGTCAATTCTACACATGGACAAACACGTGAAATCAACATTCGGTCATCTGACATTTCGAAATCTATGAATTTTTAAAGTTACTTCATGTACTGTAATTTAATTTGTTCAGAGAATAAATTATCCCAAAATACATGTTCATTTTTCAGATAAGTGTCTATTATTGGTAAAACTCTCCATTATTTTCAATAAATAATTGACAGTTTTATAAATAATAGACAATTGTTTAAGAAAAGCGTACATTCTCCTATATACTGGTTAAAAATGAAATGAAATGAAATGATATGGGGTTTAACATCCTACTGTTTTGCTCCTAAACTGGGCTAATGAAGACGGGTATACGCCAGTTTGCTATATATGGGGGGGGGGGGCGGGCGGGCAGTGGCGCTACGGTCTACTCTTATATCGAATTCCAATTGCCAAGGGATCTTTTACGTGCCAATTTTTACACGGGGCCTCGGTTTTTCGTCCCATCCGAACGACTAGACAGCTGTCCTTGTCAGGCCCTCCGTCCTGCATGCATCACTGACAAGTAGAACCACGCCGGAAAATCTAGATGAACTTTATTGGCCAATGCAGGGATGGAACACCCGACCTCTAGGCTAGCGAGCCAGCGTCTCACCCACTTATACTGGTTAAAAACATCAAAGGGTGGCGTCATATCTGTTTTAATTAAAGAGACACATCAAAGTTTATTACTAGAAGGTTTAACTTTAGTTACTTTATTTATTGTGAATATTTTTAACCATAATAGTAAGTTCTTAATTGTAAATATCGTCTTCCATAAGAATATTTCAAATTTCGTATAAGTTTCAATTTTGTTGAGATACCTCTTACCTTCGTTAAACACATGTGTCATCAGATAGAAAGTAACTTGCAATAAAATAAAATTTGAACATTTGATATAACGTATAGCATTATCTGTCAGTTTTTGTATGTGTACTGTAGGCTGTTGCCTTATAGTTATAAAAAATAAACTGTTTGTCTGTTTGATAGAGACTAGGTTAGTTAATTATCTACGTAAATCGAAGAAATCTAAAGTGTAAAAACTTAGTGAGAAATTGACTTAAATACGAGTTCATTATCGCTATAATGAGTGACAAACTGACACCTGATGAACAACCTCAAAGTGAAATGTACAACAAAACCTTCTAGAACAAAAGTAACTCCTCAATATGTAAGGATACAAAAAATAAATTCCACCAAACATAAGAATCAATTTCCATAGTTCCCACAAAACGAAGACCAAAACTTCAACGGTATACCTACAAAAGAAACATATATACACCACAACCCATGCACCCTTTTTTACTTTTTTAACTATGTAAAATCAAAACTCGAAATCCCATTAATTAAATAACAAGACCAAACAATGAAACAGGCAAACCGTTACTGTCTACGATATCACTTTACGTAAAACTTTAGGAATGAACGAAAAAAAAAACGACCTTGCATGCTTCTTTTCCATTTTTAAATTAAATCATTAAATGTCGATCGTATTTAAAATCCGTGTACATCTGTGCCATCCTTAGTCTAGAGAGTCATAGGCTTGTCATGTGAACAAACGTCTAAATAATAACGTAATATAACATTTGAAGCCAAAATACATGTAGACAGAGGAATTAGCGATTACATAATGCATGTTTAATGGTGTGGATATGCAAAGACCGTTGAGTGTCGGTGTTATTTTGTCTCTAATAACAATGTGGTTACCCAGGGACCGACGAAGGGGGGGAGGGGGTGCCGGAGTTCTCTCCCGGAAAATTTCGAAAATTGGACGACCGCAAACGCGTTTTCCAGTCCAGAAAGTCATTCTCAAGCGAACTCTGAACAATGAGCTTATTGACAAGGCAGGAGCCCACGCGACAGTCCCCAAATCAATACTCCACATGACGATCCCTGTCTATTAAAAACAATATAGGTATTTTAGAACTATGGTCGGCAACTTTTTTTTTCGGTGGCGGGCGGGGGGGGGGGGCAGTCGGGCCATGTTACAGATATCAAATCAAGGAAAATTGAAAAAGCGCACTTAAGACAACTTGATTTATAGCCATGCGACAAACTATTTTTCGATTTATTTTCGTAGCCTATAATATACGTATAGTATACAACCTATCCACACAAAGTCTCCCACACTGTGTGTTATAGAATAACTTCCATAGGCAAACCATATTAAAAAGTTTTGAATGCCTTCCACAAGGTGCAATATAAGGTTTATAATAAAATACACTTGAATCGAAGGTTGCTCAACCATATACAAATTGGTTTGGAAGAGTTGTCAATGTTGCATGTATACTACACTAATGTCTGCTGGCTTGATATAAACTTATTAACAGTTAACCTGTTGTTTGCCAACTTGTATCGGTTGGGTGCACGTGGGTAATAAAATCGATACAAGGAATCTGGACGATTCCTGAGAAAATGTCTGAACAGCGTTGGATCCCCTTGGAGTCAAATCCCGAAGTAAGTTGATAGTTGGTTGTTCGTTACATCGACATGTTAAAGTAACATAAGTTATTATATATCTTGTGACATATGTATGTTATTATTTTATCCGTTATTCCTTTCTGTTCCAGGTACTCAACAAGGTATGTCCTGTTTGTCAATCCAGTCTGTGACTCGTCTGAACGAGAATGTCAGACATTATGTCAGACATAATGACATGGCTTACATAAATGTAGAAAATGAAATGAACAAATTATGATGCGGACCATCAACGTATTGGTGTACAGACAGTGCAAATGACATCAGATGCATTGACATTGCTTTACTTTTGTTAAAATGTAATGTACTGTAGGCTATACTTCAACCGGCACTACAATTATTTTATTGTCACATTTTTCTTAATATAATGTGAATTTGTTAAGGGTCTATAAATTCTCCATGCAAAATAATAAAAGTGTTTTCATCAGTATGAACAAACTACTTGGAAGAGTTCTGCATGAAGGCTACAGTACAAACAAGTGTAGTTGAGTTGAACCGAAAGATTGTGGGGGGAACATTTTATTTTAATGTCTTTCTATTTCTTTAGTCCCGAAATGACCTAGAGTGTCAGTGGGACATTAAGCCCTCCCACTCTCTCTCTCTCTCTCTCTCTCTCTCAAAAATATCTGTTTAGATAGTACCCATATGCTTTAAATTAATAGAAATAAATGCTGGTAAATTAAAAGTAAACATATTATTAGCACAAGCATTAGACGGTTAAGGGTGGGTTCTGCTCCATAAGTTACAGGAAGGGCAAATATGTAGCCTACCACAATATTCTACGAATACACTGTAATACAGGGTAGAATTTTGTCATAAAAATATTTCAAAAGATAAAGCAAGAAAATTGCAAGCGATATGAGATCGAAACAATATTACAGACAACCGGCATATTTAGATGTGTTAACAGCGAACGCCCAAACTAAAAACTGAGTTCGGACTAATAACTTTCATCCTTTTATTCGAATTGACCTATCCTGATTCAAGTGATGCAGCCCCATTTGTTTCAAGCGAGAACTTATTTAGCCTATGCTTTCGAATGTACAATGGATTTTATATTGTACCAGAGGTGATTCAATTCAAGAGTAGGGCCTTTTGGTAAGTTGTTAATTACCATTTGTGTAGTTTGTAAATACGAAACGAAAGCAAGTTTATCTGCCTGCGATTAACAGCTTTTATGGGATGGAAGACGAAATGGGACAATATGGGTCTTATTAGTGAGACTAATTTATAGATTGTATCAAAGTTGTACACATACACCCTCTAGTGAAATAATGTTGGTACTACAATGCCCTTTGGTGTAATAATGTTGGTACTACAATGCCCTTTGGTGTAATAATGTTGGTACTACAATGCCCTTTGGTGTAATAATGTTGGTACTACAATGCCCTTTGGTGTAATAATGTTGGTACTACAATGCCCTTTGGTGTAATAATGTTGGTAAAAATGAAGCCGTAGATTGGAGAAAAACTGGTAAAAACTAAGCGGTGAAGTAGGTGGAAGTAATCTCTATAATTCAAATATATTTTTCGGGACATTTTTTTTTCATTTCAAGATTTTGACTTTGAAACGTAATGAATTTATTTCTTTGTCAAGTAAAATTTATAAATTTTGATTTTACTTAATGATATAAATGTTATCGATAAAATGGCAAAATTGAAACATAAAGTTAATATTTTGTTTTTATAAAAATGTTGATTTTGTGCATAAAAATGTAGAAACAACAATGATGAGTTTAAAATATTGCTTTTGTATATAAAATGTTGAAACTGGAGTGTAGAAACACAAATCATGAATATTGTCCCATTTCATCTTCCATATGATGAAGGTGGTACCATTCTTCAACTAAATATTTGGGAGATTATGTTTGGCTTGGGCCTTGGATTTATATCTGCAGGTATATGTATGGTTTATTAACAATTCGATAATTACTACATTATGTTGTGTAAATTATAATGATTTGAATCAGCTTTCAATTTTAAAGATGCATTATGTAAGAGTTAAATCTGCCTATTGCAGGTCGATATTTTGGCTTCAAATGTTCTATATAAATTGTTAGGCTAGTTATCTATTGTCAATTTATCTATTATTAGACTTGTGCTGATCAAACCAGTGGCTGCATATCCCACTCAATTCTTATCCGAAATATGGCGTTCACTCCCGAAAATCTGTAATGTTTTATAATTATAATATTTTCAAGATCAGTTTGTAATGTTTTATAATTGTAATATTTTCCAGCTCAGTTTGTAATATTTTCCATCTCAGTATGTAATATTTTATAATTGTAGTATATTCATTCCCTGGGTATACCTGAGAGCTGTCAGTTTGTCGATATCTATGGATTAGATGATGAAATTTTAGCCATGGTTCCACAACCTGTTGATGCCATTATTCTTCTCTTTCCTTCTACAGAAAAGGTAGGTAGCTTGCTATAGTGATTATTATTTTTATACATCCACATTCATATTGTTTTTGGTGCATACCAGACCCATTTTTTGTATTTGTTTGTCGTCTACAGGCTGGATACTTAATCCTTTATTCAAAATAAAACCGTCACACTCACAGAAATAAAAACCGTCAAAAATACCGTCTTTAGAAAAATATCGAAATACCGAACTTACCGCGATTTTGACTTTTCTAGATGATATTTTAACATAAATATTGAAAAAATGTCTTTCCGATATTTTATTGCTTAATGAAGAATAAATACCAACATATACTGTTATACTCCTGAGTGTTCATTCCACAAAGTTAGCAAATGCTGATAATGGGGTTTGTTTACATCACGTGACTTCTCGCTCACTATTTAACCCAACCAATACCGTTATAATTATCCATGCTTCTATTAAATTTCCAGTGATTAAAAAGTGATAAACTGAAATTATTGACATTACATAGAATATTGCGATAGAGTGATTATATCGCGATATTTTCAAAAAATATAGCAATATCCTTTTCCAGGGATATCGCACAGCTCTACCTTACACGCTAAGGATCATCAATATTGGTGCATGCCCCACCCTCAGGAGCAGAGCCACGCCCATTTTCTTTTTTCTGTGTCACCTAAGGCTGCAGTTCTTAATTGATCGTCTTGAAAACTTTTCATACTTATTCCTTATACCCTAGGTATGACCTCTGATTTTGGTGCATGCCCAACCCCCTGGGACAAAGCCATGCCCAATTTTTGTTTGTGGCTGTGTATCACCTACAGTCCGCAATTCTTAACAGATCCTTTTGAAACTTTGCATACCTATTCCTTATACTCTAAGGATGATCCCTATTGTTTTTGGTGAATGCCCCGATCCCACGGGCAGAGCCACAAAAATGTTTTCTTTGTGTGACTGTGTGTTATCTACAGGCCACAATTCTTAATGCATGGTTTTGGAACTTGGCATATGTATACCTTATTACCTAAGGTCGGCAACTATTGATTTTGGTGCATGTCCCAACCCCAAGGGACAGAGTCACGCCCAGTGTTTGTGTATATCGTATACATGCCACAATTCTGATTGGATTATTTTGGAACTTGGTAAGCAATGACGGCAACTATTAATTTTGGTGCATGATCTGACACTAGAGGCTACACTACGCGGCTGGAGTTTGGGACTAGAATCGCTGAACACGGCGGAAAAACTCCCTGGTCTGCCCTCTGTTTGCCCCCTCAATAATTTTAGAAAATAAAAAAAAGTATTTGTGATACGTTTCGGTAATCAATACCTTCTACGGTGAATAAATCCCACATCCCCACTCAGTCATAAACTTGCATGTTGTATAGTGTTGAAAATCGGATCGAGATTTGTGATCCGAATACTTTTTTTGTCTATCCGATATGGGTGGGATGGGGTACACTGTGAAGGTCACAAAAGTGACCGCGGCATGTATTTGTTATTTTACAAATTATACATATAATACTGTACATATACATGCATTCAACCAATGAATATTCTTACGGGATTTTGCGCAGCCGTAGATAAATCTCTGCTGTGACAATACACATCTACTCTATGTCGACCAATTCATTTCTGTAGAAGCGGATTTGAATAAAGCCATTTCACACACACAGATGTGTATATTACATGCGCATATTATATATTTATACAATGGCCACGAGTGTGTTAATTCTCTCCTTCACCCCGTTATAATTTACTTATTTTGAGTACGCTTTTTGAATGATTCCATTTTTTTGCACGTCCAATTTCCCGATTTCCTACTGCATATACATGTACCCTGTGTAACTGCAATCTATAAGCCTATACATATATGTTTACGTTTAAAATCTAGAAGCTTGAAAGTTATACTACTTAGGCGGTGTACACGCAAGTTTCGTGATTGAACCTGCATCGATATTGCATAATATCGGACCCATATTATCTTTGCTACTCAGACCAATTAAATTATATTATAAGGCTTGACTTATTCATTTTAAAAATATAACACAGACAATATGTTATTTATAATTAAATGACAATACAAAGAGACGAATAATTTATAGGTGAGTATATACATAACTTAACAATGTCCGCTGCCGGTAAGTACATATTAGCAAATATTTATCTTTATTATATCAACAATTTAATTGTTTTTCTTCGATGTACTTCATGATGAAAAAATACTACGCATAAGTGCATAACACTTTATTATTTCAAAGAAAACAGATGCATATTAAAACAAACACAATTATCAATTTATTAAAACAACATTTAAAACATGGATTTGTACAAAAGAATGGAATCATTCAGAAAGTGTACTTAAAATACGTAAATTATAACGGAGTGAAGGAGAGAATTAACACACTCGTGGCCATTGTTTAAATATATGACATGTGCATGTAATGTACATGTCTGTATGTGTGAAATGGCTTTATTCAAAAAGTGTAGTGTATATTGTCACAGCGGAGATTTTTCTAAGGCTGCGCAAAATCCCATAAGAATATTCCTTAGTTGAATGCATGTTAATGTACGGTATTATATGTATACATAATTTGTAAAAAAACAAATACATGACGCTGTCACCTTTGTGATCTTCACAGTGTACCCCTCCTACCCATATTGTTTTAATGCGTCGTAATCCATTATTATCATATACCAGTGACAGTCAAGATTTACTAAATACTTTTCGCCGAATAACGCAGCGTAAGAATATAGTAACAATCTTTTCCCACGTTTCTGACCACGTGACTTACCTTTAAGTGCACCGTGGAGTGATTTATGACACTGCGCTTTATTGATTTAGATTAACTGAAGCTGCGAGTAATGAAGTAATGTGAAAAAGCTCATCGTATATAATTTAAAGTTTGGATTTGGTAGCAGCCAATAATTGATGGATTACATCTAAGTTATAGACGTAGATGAATTTATATGTTTAAAAAATTGTAAGTTGTTCATAGTTTGCATACATTTTGGCCCCACGTAATGCATGTACAGTGCGTTGGAAAAAAAATTCCAACCGATACAGAATGCCAATAAACGTTTTCCCGGGATTACCTAACTCATTTTGTTGTTATTCAAATGGGCCTGTACATTATATATGTACCCATTTTCACGGCAGCATTACTATATTACAACTCCTTCAATTTATTATAGACAATATTAGTTCGACCCTAACTTAAGGTAGGCTCACGAATTCCTGGCGGGAAGCATGGCAAAACACGATGTATTCTTAGAGAAAGATGGTGTATTCTTAGCGAAACACGGTGAATTACTAGAGAAACACGGTAAATTCCTAGCGAAACACGGTGGATTCAAAGCGAATCTTAGAGAAAAATCGCCGCAGAATCAAGAGAAATTTCACCGCGAAATCTAAGAGAATTCTGAGAGGTTTTTTTCGTCGCGTCGCCCCGATTTCGGTCCAAAAAATTTGGGAGGAACTGTATAAAGTTAATGCCCAATTGACTTAAAATTTATACAAAGTGTTTGATGTCATGAGACAAAGAAGCCTATTGATTTTCAGCGATTGCTGATAACTACTGCCTGAGTTATGACCCTTGATCACTTCAAAAAATCTTGTGGACGCTCTAGAGGCTAAAGTGAATATTCGATTGACTTTAGAATTATACTAGCACGTGCACGCTGTATCATAAAGTCTGTCATTAAGTAAGGCGTGGTTTTGAATCCCCGGTTTCTCCAGGCCCTCCAGTTTTTTCCCACTGCAAAAGACCCCTACATGCAAGCAAATTATGGAAATGAAATTGAACCATATGTTAGTCCCGAAATTACCTAGTTTGTGTCGAGTGGACGTTAAACCCCATTTCTCTCTCTCTCTTTAGAATTATACACAGTGTTTAATGTCATGAGACAAAGAAGCCTATTGATTTTCAGCGATTTCCGATAATTACTGCCAGAGTTATTGCCCTCGATCAATTTGAAAAATCTTGTGGACGCTCTAGAGGCTAAAGTTAATATATACATGCCACAATTCTGATTGGATTTTTTATGAACTTGATAAGCATGGACGGCAACCATTTTGGTGCGTGAGCCGACACTCTAGAGGCTAAAGTTAATGCCCGATTGACTTAAGATTTATACACAGTGTTTGATGTCATGAGAAAAAGAAGCCTATTGATTTTCAGCGATTGCCAATAACTACTGCCTGAGTTATGGCCCTTGATCACTTTGAAAAATCTTGAACATGCTAGCGGTTGAAGTTATCACCCTATTGACTTTTTATTTATACCTATAGTTTTTCAACGATTTCCGATAATGTGGGCATATCTTGCATGACAACCACTTGTTTGACTTATGGATCATTTCAGTTGACTGATGTGGATCAATATTTTATTTGTAAAATGGAAATAACATATACTATTCAAAAAAAGTAGGGGATATTCAGAAACAATACAAAACTGTGGAAATGCACTGCTGTTTTTATTAGAGGTAACCAGTGTATGTTAATAACAGGCCAATTGCCTGCACATGAACATAAACAGTTCATAAGGGCGGCTTATCTGACGGTCCCATTTCACATGCAAAGAGATACACTGTCAAAAGTGAAAATGGACGTTTTTGATTTTTTGTCTTAATAATGAGTAATTGCTCCACCAATCAGCAATTCAGCAATTCGACGTGGCATGCTCCTAATCAACCATCCAATCACGATTTGGGGCAATCTGACCCACTCCTCTTGCAGTGCCACAGCCAGTTCTTGCAGTGTTGTCCGTTGACGTCGACGAACACGTCTCCCGATCATGTCCCAGACATGCTCTATAGGGGTCAGGACTAATGGCTGACCAAGGCATATGGACAATATGGTGATGCTGGAGGTAGTCATTCATGACACGAGCGTGGTGGGCACGGGCATTATTATCTTGAAAGATGAAACGTCTACCTGCACGTTGAGCAAAGGGCAGAACTATCGGTGCCAGGATGTGGTCACGGTAGTACACACCAGTGACCCTTCCTTGAGCAATATGCAAGTCCGTTCTGCAAGTCATGGTGATTCCTCCCTACACCATAACAGACCCACGCCCGAATCTGTCATACTGTCTGACGTTAACGTTAGCATGACTGACACTCATTTACACGCCTCCAAAAGCAAGCACGCCCATCGGTGAAATCCAGAGTAAATTTAGACACATCTGAGAACATTACACGCACCCATCAACGATAACCCGAATTTCTACGCTGCCTACACTATTGACGCCTGTTTGCCATGTGCTGGCAAGTTAATGGAGGAACAACATGCGGTTGTCGCGCATGCAAATGGGCTGCATGTAGCCGATTTCTAATTGTGTGGGGTGAAACTCGAATTCCTGTAACCTGATACAAATTGACAGAAAGCTGATTGGCTGTTTGTCCTCGATTTCGCAGGACCTGTGTACGAATGTATCGATCCTGGGCTTGTGTAGTGGCTCTAGGACGACCTGAACGAGGTCTATCATCAACATTGTGTGTTTGTTGGTACTGGTTCCACGGTCTGCTGATCACAGACTGTGACACATTAAGCATGTTGGCTACTGCTCGCTGTGTAGATCCCATTTCAAGCATGCCAATAGCACATAGACGTTCATCATGTTGAAGACCTCTCATTGCAAATTAAATGTAACATACTAAAGCAAAGATACGCTAAACAGTAAGTCTTATGCAAGAACCGATAGGAAGATAAAGCAAAGATGGATAGGATAAACCAGCATGCGGCAGTTTTCATCAACCCTTCCTTGAAGTGTCAAATTTGACAATGAACCCCTCCCACGTGTGTGGCGCTATTGCGTGTCGCAAGTGCAGCTCAGTGGTTCTGTTGGAGCGATAAGTTCTTCATCTGTGAATTTACTCTCAAAGCATGTCAAGTGTCCATGACTATTTATCATATCACAACCTACATAGGTATATGTATTTGCATTTCAATATCCCCTATATTTTTTTAAGAGTATATTTACAAAAAAAAAAATGTATAATTGTAGGTTGAGCAGAATCCTATTGGAACTGTTGAACCAAATCCATCAGTGCCAATTTACTATATGAAGCAGTCAATTCGTAATGCTTGTGGAACAGTTGCCATGGTTCATGCTGTAGCTAATAATGCAGATGACATCCAGTTTGATGGTAAGAGAACTAAAATAACGTTATTAAACGAGGATACACATCACATAGATATCATTAAGTTCGGACGTCAGAGAGAGCACCATTGTCATTCATTTACAGCCCACACTTCCATATGGAAGTATATTGCTATCAACCCTGTCTGTCCGGATGTCCACAGTTTGTTTGTGGACCCTCTGCAGGTCACAATTTTTATATGACCACATTAAAATGTGGTTGTATATTGTTGTTGCTCCCATCTATTCGTCTGTCCGGTGTCCACAATTGCTTGTGGACGCTCTACAGGCTAAAGTTAATATCCGATTGACTTTAAATTTATACACAGTGTTTAAGGTCATGAGACGAAGAAGCCTATTGATTTTCAGCGATTTCCGATAATTACTGCCAGAGTTATGGCCCTTGATATTTCAAAAAATCTTGTGAACGCTCTGGAGGCTGAAGTTAAATTTATACACAGTGTTTAAGGTCATGAGACAAACAGGCCTCTACATTTTCAGCGATTTCTGATAATCACTGCCAGAGTTATGTCCCTTGATCACTTCAAAAAATCTTGTGGACGCTCTAGAGGCCAAAGTTAATATCCGATTGAATTTATACACAGTGTTTAAGGTTAGCAGACGAAGAAGCCTAGTGATTTTCAATGATTTCTGATAATTACTACCAGAGTTATGGCCCTTGATCACTTTGAAAAATCTTGTGGATGCTCTAGAGGCTAAAGTTACATGTATCATCCAAATGACTTTAGATTGATACACAAAGTTTAAGATCTTGAGATGAACAAGTATATTGATTTTCAATGAATTTTGATAACTTGAACAGATAAATCCATGCTATTAAATGTTTCGTATACCAAACATTACCGTGGGGCAGAACTTTATAAAGTTGTTACTCTTAATCAGATTTTAGTGTATTATAAATGTTTCATAACCGAAAAAAGTAAAAATTTGCGACAACTCTTGTTGTGGTTGTATGTTTCATTGCCTGGCAACCTATCTTTAACATGTAGCAAATGTATAAATGGAATTGATATTGCTGGATTTGGTTGATTCTGCATGATGGATTTGGTTGATTCCGCATTGCTGGATTTGGTTGATTCTGTGTCTCTTTTATAACACATGTGCAATACGTAGTTGGAAATCTGTTTAACGGTTTCATTGGTACCGGAAGTGACATAATTACAAGGGTAACGAGGCATCGGAAGTGACATAAAATCAAAGGGTAAAGTGGCACCAGTGAAACCGGTCATTACTGCGTCGCAGTTCTAGTGATGGTGGCCGCTTTATTTTCCACTAGAGCATACAATCTTGAAAACTACTTGTTGGATCCACCCGATGTCTCAGTTATACTGGGAAAAAGTATGTGACTTAGAGATTAAGCCCATTTCGAGCATTTTCAAATAATTGCTTGTAGAGTTATGGCACTTGTTTCACCTTGTGAACACTTGAATGATGAAAGTTATCATCCAATCTATATGAAATTTATATGCATTATTTAGATTAGTGAAATCAAGAATCCTATTGAATTTCAGCAATTTCTGTCGATCACTTCTTAATTTATGGCCCTTGATTTACTTTGTTGAACTTGTGAACGTTATAATCCAATCTGTATGAAATTTATATGCATTATTTGAATTAGTAAAATGAAAAAGCTGGTCAAATTTCAACAATTTTTGTAAATTACTTCCAGTGTTAAGGCCCTTCCTTTAGTGTGTAGAACCTTGTGAACCCTCAAACGACGAAAAATTATAATCTGATCTGTATGAAATCGTCTTGTAAATAAATACCCCCAATTACCTACAAAAGAATAAATGTGCGACAACCCTTGTCGAACGCTCAGACGCTTTAGCTGCTGTGGCCGTATTTTTCGTTGCCTGGCAACCTATCTTTATCCGATTTGGACACAACTTGAAATATAGGTTTATCGTCCTAAGATCTTGGTTCCTTTCGATATTGCCATGTATTGGCCGGTAACTTCATGGATTATGGCCCCTGATTGTACGGAAAATCTCGTTTTAGCTTGTGGACACTCTAGAGGTTACAATTTTTATCCAATTTATAAAAAAATGTTTAAATATATCACTGTTACACCATAAGGATGGTTGAGTTGGAATTTCATGAAAACACCATAAGGATGGTTGAGTTAGAATTTTGTGAAAAAAGGATCGAAACTGCTCCCTGTACGCAAATAGTGTTAAAGATGATTTTTATACGCCCACATTGAAATGTGGTTGTATATTGTTGTCGCCCACGTCCGTCCGTCCGGCGTCCACAATTGCTTGTGGATGCTCTAGAGGCTAAAGTTGATATCCGATTGACTTTAAATTTATACACAGTGTTTAAGGTCATGAGACGAAGAAGCCTATTGATTTTCAGCGATTTCCGATAATTACTGCCAGAGTTATGGCCCTTGATCACTTCAAAGAATCTTGTGGACGCTTTAGAGGCCAAAGTTAATATCCGATTGACTTTAAATTTATACACAGTGTTTAAGGTCATGAGACAAAGAAGCCTATTGATTTTCAGCTATTTCCGATAATTACTGCCAGAGTTATGGCCCTTGATTACTTCAAAGAATCTTGTGGACAGTCTAGAGGCAAAAGTTAATATCCGATTGACTTTAAATTTATACACAGTGTTTAAGGTCATGAGACGAAGAAGCCTATTGATTTTCAGCGATTTCCGATAATTACTGCCAGAGTTATGGCCCTTGACCACTTAAAAAAAATCTTGTGGACGCTCTAGAGGCGAAAATTAATATCCGATTGACTTTAAATTTATACACAGTGTTTAAGGTCATGAGACGAAGAAGTCTATTCATTTTCAGTGATATTCGATAATTACTGCCAGAGTTATGACCCTTGATCACTTAAAAAACCTTGTGGATGCTCTAAAGGCTAAAGTTAATATCTGATTGACTTTAAATTTATACACAGTGTTTGAGGTCACGAGGCGAAGAATCCTATTGATTTTCAAAGATTTCTGATAATTACTGCCAAAGTTATGGCCCTTGATCCCTTTGAAAAATCTTGTGGACGCTCTAGAGGCCAAAGTTAATATCCGATTGACTGCAGATTGATACACAGAATTTAAGATCTTGAGACGAACAAGTATATTGATTTTCAATGAATTTTTATGACTTGGAACAGCTAAATTCATGATACAGTATTAAAAGTTTTGTATACAAAACGTTAGCATGGGGCAGAACTTTATAAAAACCAAACAAATTCTAATGGTTTTCTGAGTTGTTGCTCTTATCAGATTTTAGTGTATTATAAATGTTTCATTACCGAAAAAAGTAAAAATATGCGACAACTCTTGTTGACTGCCCGGACAATTTAGCGGCTGTGGGCTTATGTTTCGTTGCCTGGCAACCTATCTTTATCGTTCTCCATTGACCGATACGTTAGTCCAACAATTTTTTTTTAGATGTGCTGGAGGCTAGTGTTCTTGATGTGACAAATTGGGACTATGACAGGATGAACCCTATAATTTGTTCTCCGTCCACAATTTGGAAACGTTAGCAAATACTTTTAATTTTTATCTACCTAAAGTTTCATTGTCTGGCATCCTATCTTTCTCTTTTGAAGATACCAAACATTTTGTCAAATTTTTGAAAGCAACAAAAGATTTAAGTCCAGAGGAACGAGCCGCTGCTTTGGAAAGTGATAAGGTAAGTTGACTGTGTATTTATATAACTTCCTCTTGATATTCGTGCATATCGGACCGTAGCTTCCTGGAATGTGGCCCACGATTGTACAAAAAAAATCACTTTTTGTTTTAGCTCATTCTCTGTCCATCTGTTGCAAAATGTTGGCGTATCTTGCATGGCAACCATCTGTTGGATTCTTTGGACAACTGTGAATCTTGCCCTAGGTTACAATTACATATTTTACAAACATTAACTTGACACTACGTATTCATATTCTTGTCAAAAATAGCACCAATTATGAAACAATTTCACTATTATGGTGTGTGGGTTAGAATGGGCAAATTTCAGTCTTATGTCAGGGATTCTGTTTCATCCATGTATGCCTGACATGTCCTACATGAATTGGGTAAAGTGTGGGGATCATAAATATTATTCAGAATACAATATACTACATAACATAAGAAATATCTGTAGTTGAAGTCTTATTAATGGAAATGGAAGGTTATTGACTCTATTTTCTGAACCTGACCGCGACTTCTGGTTACCTTATTCTGGCATCTATTAACTCCAATAAAAAATGGTTGACAAGTATATGCTGGTCTATATTTATATTGCAGCAAATGGGTTCAGCTCATCATGACAGTGCTCAAGAAGGACAAACCCAGGTATGTTTCTGCCTTGATTAGCCAGGGTTATATTATGTGTCGGAAAAGCTTGTGAACACAATAGAGATTAGATTCCTTGATGGATCCTAGATCAAATCTGCTGTATAATATATATCACTATCCAGTTCGTTGAGTAAATATCTTACAATACTGACATAAGAACAAGCCATAGGTGTGTCCAGCCAAAAAGTAGCGCAGTGTCCTGGGGTAAATAATAAGTTGTTTAGTCGAGCATGTGATGTGGGTGGAAAAAAAAAGATATGGAGGCGGATGTGGCTCGTAGATACATGTATGATCTAAACATAGTCAGTCATCCTGAACAAAAATATTGTTTGAAAAAAAGACATTTACGAGGTTTACGACTCTGGAACAGATCCATAAATTATCCACACTAAAGCTACCCCTGTATGGCGTGGTTCTCCCTTGTCAATGTGTAGCCTACTCCCGCCATCAGATTTCTTCCCTCACTTTTTTTTTTAAGGCTTCATCTCAGATACAAATCGACACAAAAATTGGATGAATGTTACGGCTGTAAATTACTTAAAAATAGGGAATGTGTAAATATGTATGTAGTGATGTTTTGGGGTTTTTTTTATATTAAGGCTCCTTCACAAGCGGAAGATGTCAATCCACATTTTGTAACTTTCATTCATAAAGATGGTGGGTTATACGAACTTGGTAAGTCTTAGACTACTAGTATTGCATGGACTTCAATTATTATCATAGTTTTTAAAGTGATCACTGGTGTAAGGTTAGAGTCAAAAATTATGTCTTGCATTGCACACAGAACTATTGAATATTCAAATATAGTAACCACTTCCATACATTGAAAATACATAGCTAGTTTAACATCTACTCAACACAAACTAGGTCGTTTGGGACTAACATGTACAATTTTTTCAATAACTCACTCGTTCAAAAGAGACTTTAAATAGAAGGAAGCCGAAGGACCCAGAGAAACCCACATCAATGTTTGGGATCGAAATCATGCCACTTGACTCAACGAAACCTTAAACGACTTGACTCAGTAAAACCTCATGTTAAACCACTTGACTCAATGAGACCTTGTGTTAAAGTACCTAAGTCTTTAACTCATTATCTTCCACAGTATTCGACATTGAATACACAAATTATTTGTGAATTTAAATCAACATTGATGTTGTGAATTACTGGGGAAAGATGGGCTTCTGATATTCAATATTTAAGACAAAATAACCATTTTACCATTGGTAAACAAATCGTGTACCAGGATGCGTTTCAGTGCAATTTGTAATAAGGGACTCAAAGAATGAGGCTAGACATATCCCATAAGTCATGTGAAAAGGTGACACCATATTCTTATCTGGAGAGCATGCGCAATAAATACTGTCGGAGTAGTCTGAAATAACCAGAAGCTAGAGATTGCCACTCGATTGAGACTTCTGGCATATTTCACCGAACATAATTGATTTGAAATTAGAGTAAAAATAGAAACAATTAAATGTAAATCAGTTTATATACATTCATATTACGTAATTATATGCGTTGTGACCCATTTGTGTCAATTTCTAGGTCCCAAGTATTATTGATTTAGCTCCTTTAAACAACTTGATTCAATAAGTCATTATGTTAAACCACTTGACCACCAACCTATTAGAGATACTGAAAATTAAACAGATAAAAGGCAATACAGTGATTTATTGCTACAAATCTTAAGAATTTAGAACTGATCTATGTTTAGCAATATATTTGAATATTTGTACCAATATCTATTAACAGATGGAAGAAAGGAAGGTCCAGTACGACATCGTGATACTACAGCTGATAATTTACTTAAGGTAGTATAGCAAAAACAGTTGTTGTTTACATTATTTACTCAGAGACATGAGTCAGTTCCAATTTTTGACAACACTCTTGTTTTTATATTGTTCTGCTTTAATTCAAGTCCTTGTTTCGAAAGCATAATGAAACGTGCACACTAATATCATCAAAAATCATTTCCTAACAAATTTGTAACTCATTCACCTCAAAATATCTATCCATTACTTCTAAATCTGCTAAGCGGATATCGGCAATGTAAACATTACCAGATCGCCATGTCACTGTGCACGTAATCGTCTCCTCGAATCCTTTTGTGTGTAGTACAATGTAGTACGAAGCGTGCACTGATATTAGCTAATACAAACCAGTTTAATTTTCTCCGTTTAACAAACTACTTCGCGGCTAAAATGGCACTTGTCCACGAGGTCTCATTGCTTTCTACAAAAGCTAACTAGAATGGTTCGTTGTGGCGGGAAATACGAGTCACACAGGCAAAAAACAACATTGCAAGATCGCCATGTCACTGTGTACGTAACATAGCTATATAGAAATATATATAACTCTGTCACTTATTTTATACCATTTCTAAGGTCGTGGATCGAGATGCCGACACCAAATTATTAGACAAAGGATTTAAAAATATATGGAAGTGGGAAGGTGGAAGGCGAGCTTGTCGGACGTTTTGTTCGTAAAGTTAACTTCTGAGGAGTAAAAAAATGTGAAATGTGCTGAAAATGTATGAATTGACAAGTCTTCTGTAAATAGTAAAGTTAATGTCCAAGGAGTAGCAAAATGTGAACTGTGCCGGAAAGATATTAATTACGGAATTGACAGTATTTTTTTTTTTGATTAATAAGTATTCTGTAAATGGTACAAATATAAATTAAATTTAGGCAAAGATTCATAGTAAATTAGTTGACGAAAAGCACCTTAAAATTTATTTTCAGATCCCTTCATTACTTTAAAATCGCCATTTTCAGACGAGGGTCCCCCAAATCTATATTTTCCAAAAACTAAAATCACGTCTGTACTCAAGGGGGTATAGTAATAAAAGTTGTTGTTTAAAATATCTTTCAAGTTCATTTGAATTAATAATTAAAAGAAAATCTTGCCGACCCCCAAGTTTACATGTGATAGAAATGGTAAAAAAAAAAGATTCTAAATATAATTTTAACATGGAGATCTTTGCCATGGTGTATCTGTAACAACAATTTGTAGATTCTGAAATGAGTGCAAATAAAGGAAATAATTTAGTGTTACCGACTGAAGTTGGAAACCGGCTATTCATAAGAAGAACTGAAAATAATAATTCAATAATAGAATGTTTAAAGTTGATGGAGATGTTCATTAGGTGAATATTTTGACCGAGTTCAATGATTAACATTTCCCGCTAAAGCTAATCAATTTCATTGGTCGATGCTTTGGGACAAGATAACTTGATTCTATCTGATAGAGAGGGATGAAACTTAGTGTATAGTTGATAATCAGTTTGATTGCTCGATACTTTTGATTATGCTTGTTCGCAGTGCAAATTTTTTTATGTCACATTGAAATTTAGCAAGAACCTAACTAAATAAGCAGATTCAACATCTTTAAATCTAGCAAACAGAAATCAGAAAGTTGCCTTTTTTTTAAAGGAATTTGTAGTATCAAATTGACCATTTCACTATTTAATACTTTTAAGACTCAGTGATGAAGGGAAACTGTAAATACTGTCTATTAAAGATGACCACAGGGGTATTAAAATTAGTAATATTTCTGGGTTAAAGGGTCGTAAATACGAACTGTGCATGTTATCATGCTAATTTTAGAACGTCAGGCCTAATACATTTAGTTGGTTTTAAACACACGAAACAGGCTCATTTAAACTGGGTTTTTTTTTCTGAGTAGTATTTGATGACATTTTTTCGTAAAATTCATTTTAGTGTTTATAACGCCAGGATTTTTTCTGACAGATGACATTTTCATCATGTAGTAAATCACGTGACCGATGACCTCTAGGTAAAACAATGTAGTGAGGGATACTTGTGTGGAGAATGATTCTTTATGTCATATTAACATTATGACATCACTGGTTACTATGACTTCCCTTGTGCTTCAAATTTCATTTGTGTAGTTGTGTTCTCTGAGGAAGTAGAGAGAGAGAGAAATGGGGTTTAACATCCACTCGACACAAACTAGGTCATTTCGGGACTAACATATGGTTTAATTTTATTTCAATAATTCACTTGCGCATAGGGTTGTTTAGCAGTGGGAGGAAACCGGAGGACCCGGAGAAAACCCACGAGGTTGGCCAGGCGACCCTACTCCTTGCCACGTACAACCAGGGATTCGAAACCACGCCAGTTGACTCAATGACAGACTTTATGGTACAGCGCGCACATGCTAACCATTCAGCCATCCAACCCCCCCTCTGAGGAAGTAAGTTTTTACACTTACGAAACGTTAGATGCTATAAAAGATGTTTTGTGATACCCTTGACTTTGTTTTAACCACTCATTATTAAGTAAACGTGTGTGTTTTTTAAATCTGAATTTGTGGTTTACTTCTAAAGTACTACATAATGTATATTTGATTCGACAGATGGGATATTAATCATTCAACTGTTTAAATTGAATGCAGAATTCAGTAAACACAACATTATTATTATTATTATTATTATTATTATTATAGTGCGCCCTTTTATATAACATGTTCAGGGGCACTTTACAAAGTGACAATGTAATCATAAATAAACAACAAGATTATGGACACTGAGTAAAATCGTGTACTATGAATACTATAGTTCATGCCTATGCTTAGACCTGGATAATTTTTATGCCATGACATATTAATATAGAATCTGATTTATTTGCTTATTTAAATAGGATACAGCAGATGTGGTAAAAGAATTTATGAAAAGGGATCCAGACCAAATATCATTTACTTTAATGGCTTTGATACGTCTTAAAGATTAGAGAGATTAAATGATGGTGACCACTACACACAGGATTATTGCTACATTGTCTGCAAACAATAAAATGGAGCTTGTATTTATTGTATTGATCTGTTATTTATAAACCAATCATCACCAACACTATTATTATTTAATGATCAATATATAGTATAGAATGATGACTGTGAGTTATAATGTATTGTTTACATTTAGTCTATCCACCATTTTATCCACATTATTAATAGCTTTCAAACTGCTTTTCTATGCATAATTTATTTAGGAGTGTCATTTTGTATATCCGTAATTGAAGTTCTGTTTGGTTTGTATCACTTTCGGTGTCATTATCTGACACAGTACCTAATTTTTGTTTAGTTACAACTCAAACAAAACAACCATAGCTTACATAATAGTACTCAATAGATCTTAACCAAATAAAAATAAGTAGTAAAAAAAAAAATGGAAATAAATAAGAAATAGAGTACCAAATAAATTATTTACACTAATTTGGTTGTTGGAGAGTTGTCTAGCAGAGTATTACATAAAGATGGTTGTTGGAAAGATTTCTAAAAATGATAAAAAGATAAGTGATGCAACAAAGCTGTCATAAAATAAGTTCCATATGAAATCAGAACAAAATCCATATTAAAGGAACCTAACGAAACAGGTATCTAGTCAAACTGTGACACCTGTTTAGTTTATGTAAAGAAATACTTACCAGACAATTCTTTTGTTGATTACAAGTTGATTAATACTCCAAATTTAAATAGTGTGTATGCTATATACAGAAAGTGACTGATTGATTGCTGTTCATCTATTTTACATGGTAAAACATATTCCAGATATAAGTAAAGATCTTTGGTATGGTTGATCCACAAGTTCTGAAAGCAAGTTGTGGATGTAATAGCTATACAGAAGATTTCGGCTTTTTTAATTATTCTGGAGATGAAGAGTTGTAAGTTGAGGCTGTGACAGGATATTAATTCTAACACAAATATCTACACTAAGGACCCATTGTTACCAGAAAGTTTAGGAAGAAAAAAACATTCAGTACATCACCTACTTTTTAAGGCTAGATATCATCTGGTCATGTGGAAGGGACAAAGAAAGAAGACTTGAAAGTGGAATTTTAAGAAAAGCAGACGCAGTGTCTACCTGTTTGCTTACTTGGTGAAGAACAATAGGACATTAAAACCCCATTTCATTTCATTTGATGAAAACCTTATGGACCAACTATAATATCCACCTCACACCCCCACCATAGCCTAGATATTTACTCTAAGATTATATTTGGAATCTGTTTAACCTATTCTCCGACTGTTTGTAAAATCTACAGAATTAACATCATCAATCAGTGATTAATTGTATTGACTATTGAGGTGGCCAATTTCCATTATAATTCTTCAAACTCCGGTGAAAACTTAATATCATATAATGATTTATTAATCTTTTCAGAAAGATTCTTTGTAGGTTAAATAAATATTATTGAGCAGACATTTATTTTTATATTGAAGACATTGGTTTTTGTACTTTTGCAATTGTGAACCTATTTTTCTATTGTATTTGTAGGCCTTGATATGATTGCTGATTTTCATAATTTAGAATACAGGTACTGTTATTACTGAGCTATGTTTCAACTTTAAGCTTGTGTAGTGTTTATAAAGCCTTGTCAAGACGTCGCTCGGTAATAAAGAGTGATTATATTCTATAGAATTATTATCCCGTGTATTTCAAGTTCAGTTATTAAATGCATTTGAAACAATTTAATTTAGAATTGGCTGTGCATTCCATTACATGTCTAAATTCGTGAGATCAGTTCTAATTTATGTAATCATATTTTATTGTAGTGCTATATTGTCGCCACGCCGTCTGTCTGCTTGTATTTCCTTTGGTATGTCATTCATATTTCTCGTTAGCACAAGACGACAATCAAATTTCTGAGATAGTTACTAAATGGGTTGTTACTCTTGACCAGTATTTTAGTGCTTTTTTAATGCGTCTATTACCCGCAAAAGAATAAATAAGTGACAACTATTATGAACTGTGGGACAACTTAGGCATGCCGTGGTGTGTGTATGTTCTGTTGCCTGGCAATCTACTTTTGTATAGTTGATTGCAAGAGATCTTTTTTAAAAAACATAACAAAAGGCCACGGGCAAAGAACCAACTTAAATCAAATGTGGGAGTGAGTCATATTTTTGGCTACACAATTTTTCAAATTCCAAGCAATATATATCTTGCAAAATAATCCTGACCTCTAGTTTGAAATTCTGTACCAGTTCCAAGATTGTCATTTCTTACCACATTCCAATAAATATTATTATATTTATGTGGTAGAAATCAGTGACATTAATTTATGTTATAGATAAGTAAAATTGAAGTGCTTTGTATTGGGATGTAAATATTTAACTGCTCAGTGCTTATTGTGGAAATAAATGTTTTACACACATATACAGGTATTTGTAGCAGTAGATTAGTCATATACCAATGAGTAGGAGCCCCCTATTAAGTCCCACCAAAATGCTGAGATACCCCCAAGTATAAAATACCATAAGGTAGAGATTCATGAGGGGGTCACCGTGGCTAAGTGGTAAAATGCTGCCTAGCTAGCCTGGAGGTCGGGTGTTCGATCCCTGCATTGGCCGAGAAAGTCCATCCAGATTTTCCGGCGTGGTTCCCACTTATCAGTGATGCAGGACGGAGGGCCTGACAAGGACTGCGGTCTAGTTGTTGAGACGGGACAAAAAAAACGTGGTCCTGTGAACACATTGGCGTGCACATAAAAGATCCCTTGACAGTTGGAATTTGATACAAGAGTAGGCTGTAGTGCCGCTGTCCAGGCAAAATTTACCTGATAGCACACTGTATGGCATATGCCGTCTTCATTAGCCCAATTCGGAGCAGAACAGTAGGACGTTAAACCCCATTTCATTTCAGAGATTCTTGATCGAACCATTAAGTTGCATTATAGAGGTTAGCGCGTGCGCATTCGATAACATATATTCAATTCATTGTGTCTTTGTAAAACGGGGGGGGGGGGTGAAGGGTGAATGGTTAAGCACGTGCGCGTTGTATCATAGGTCTGTCATTGAGTCAACTGGTATGGTTTCGTTTCCCTGGTTGTACGTGACAAGGAGTAGGGTCGCCTGTCAACCTCGTGGGTTTTCTCCAGGTCCTCTGGTTTCCTCCCACTGCTAAAGACCTCTAAGCGCAAGCTAATTATTGAAATAAAATGAACCATATGTTAGTCCCGAAATGACCTGTATCTGAACAAGACAAAATAGTTAATGTACTGCCCAATCCAATTTAGTTAGCTCATACGACGACTCACTACCGTCTTTTTCCGGCTAATGACTTAGAACTTGAAACCTTCAAATTTAGGGAATCAGAAATTCGAGATACACGTATTACCACATCACTTGCTGTATTAATCACAAAATCTTTAAATCATGTTGCTTGAAGTTGGCAAATCCACCAACAATTCTTCTATTAGAAAACCTTGTAGTTCTAGATCAACGGAAAGAAGCACAGGAGAATCTATCATCGTCAATTAACAATTACCGCCCAATATCACAATTACTACCCAATATCATAATTACCGTCTAATATCACAATTACTACCCAATATCATAATTACCGTCTAATATCACAATTACCGCACATCCCAATTCAAGCCCAATGTTCCATCGGGATTTATTAAGAACTGACACTATCGTCTAGGACTTTATTTGAATTAAGTCTGAAACACTGTTTATGTTGTTACTATGTTTATATATCAAATACAGCAAACTACAAAGGTTAAATACAGCAAACTACAATAATAGCTCAAGTATAAATAATCCGGGGGTTTGGATGGCCGAATGGTTAGCACGGTCTGTCATTGAGTCAACTGGCGTGGTTTTGATTTCCCGGTTTTACGTGGCATGGACCAGAGTCGCCTGTCCAACCTCGTGGGCTTTCTCAGAGTCCACCGGTTTCCTCCCACTGCTTAAGACCCCTACGCGCAAGCAAATTATTGAAATAAAACTGAACGATGTGTTATTCCCGAAATGACCTGGCTTGTGTCGAGTGGACGTTAAACCCCATTTCTCTCTCTCTCCAGCTCCCCCCCCCCCTCTCTCTCTCTAAATAATCCAAAATATTATCGGGTACTAAATGGTATTCTTAATTCATATGACGTGCATAAATGAACTAAGTTGTAAGAATATGTATTGATTTTTATACGCCCACATTGAAATGTGGTCGTATATTGTCGTCGCCCCCGTCCGTCCGTCAGGCGTCCACAGTTGCTTGTGGACGCTCTAGAGGCTAAAGTTAATATCCGATTGACTTTAAATTGATACACAGTGTTTAAGGTCATGAGACGAAGAATCATATTGATTTTCAACGATTTCCGATAATTACTGCCAAAGTTATGGCCCTTGATCTCTTTTAAAAACATTGTGACCCTCTAGAAGCTAAAGTTATCATCCGATTGACTTCAGATTCATACACAGAGTTTAAGGTCTTGAGACAAACACGTATATTGATTTGCAATGAATTTTTATGACTTGAACAGCTAAATCCATGATGTTAAAAGTTTCCTATACTAAACGTTAGCATGGGGCAAAACTTTATAAAAACCAAACCAATTCTAATGGTTTTCTGATAATTACTTAATGAGTTGTTACTCTTAATCAGATTTTAATGTATTATAAATGTTTCATTACCGAAAAAGTAAAAATATGTGACAATTCGTGTTGACTGTCCGGACGATTTAGCTGCTGTGGGCGTATGTTTCGTTGCCTGGCAACCTATCTTTTCAAGATTTATATTCACTGTAAATTAATACAAGGTGTCTAATTGCTGAACATCAGTTAAATTTAAATAAGTCTGGGCCCTAATTCACGAAAACTTAAACTAAGATACAATCGAAATTTTAAGAAATACTGCAATTCGATTGGCTGACCAATATGCAAATTGGATATATGCAAATTAATTTTACTGGTCAGCCAATCGAATTGCAGTATTTCTTAAAATTTCGACTGTATCTTAGTTTAAGTTATCGTGAATAAGGGCCCTGGTGGATATTTGTAAATTTAAAGTCGTTGTAAAATGATGCGAGTTAGCCAATGGACTAACGCCCTAAACTTATTACCATAGAGAACTATGTTCAATTTCATGATTTTTTAACTTAGAATTCCTTTGCTTGAAAGGAATATCCAACCCAACACTTCTCTACAACAATGTTTTAAATATACCAGCTAGGGTATAATAATTAACATGGAAGTGTAAATTATACAAATCGTACTTAATTTAAACCCACGAGTGTAAATTATTTAAATGTAATCCGAATGTGGTGTATCAGTTTACGCCACTAAAGTTGAGACGTTACACTAATGGAAGTAGCAGTTGCCACCTGAATTACACTCCTCCGAATATGGTGTTATCAGTTAACACAACTAAAGGTTTGAAGTTACCCTATTTTAGGTGCCACCCTAATTGGTGGAAACTTCCATATAATTTTTCCCCTTGTGTCACTGCCCTGAATCCCCACGTTACACGTAACCAATCGCAATACTGAAAATATGCATGTATTTTCGCCCTTCCATCATGTTCCCCTGGTAATAATTTCACAGAACATGTTAAGAGAAGATCAACCTTGCGACAGTTCAAAGGCTATTTATGTAAATCGACCAAACGATCCAATATCACTACTATCAAGGAGACAGCTAGAAGACTACAAGTAATTCACGCTTGACTAAGGTGACAAGTCTATAATTATACATTTCCAACAATTCATCGTGTACTTGAGATCATATTATGGAGGACAGCAGCAACATAACTGCTCCAATTCCAAGGCATGGAATCAAATGAAAGGGGGTTTAACGTCCCGCTTTTCTGCCCTGACTGGGCTAATGAAGACTCGCAAATTGCATACAGTGTGCTATGGTCTACTCTTATTTCGAATTCCAACTGTCATGGGTTTTTTTACATGCACGCCGATCTCCCCACCTCCCCCAATTTTCTTTCCTTTCTCATTTGTTTGATTTTATTTTTTTAAATTATTATTTAACACTTTTCTTCACACGACTATAGTCTAAAACCCTAGTCTACATAATCATTCTTATTTTATTGCATTACCAGCTCATTTTCATATCATAGTCTGAAAGCAGTTTTATATAGGCTATAAGCATTAGGTTGATTGTTATTTATATTATACCATTTGCCTTTAAGATTGTAAGGGGGGTTGGATGGTTGAATGGTTAGCGTGCGCGCGCTGTATCATAAAGTCTGTCATTGAGTCGACTGGCGTGGTTTCGAATCCCCGGTTGTACGTGACAAGGAGTAGGGTCGACTGTCCAACCTCGTGGGTTTTCTCCGGGTCCTCTGGTTTCCTCCCACTGCTAAAGACCCCTATGCGCAAGCGAATTATTGAAAGAAAATTAAACCATATGTTAGTCCCGAAATGACCTAGTTTGTGTCGAGTGGACGTTAAACCCCATTTCTCTCTCTCTCTCTTTAAGATTGTATATAATTAATCTGAATATATATTGTTGAAATAGTTGATGATTTCCATCATTATTACAAGTGTACATTTTGTTTTTTAACGCTCCAATAAGGTCCACCAGCAACGTCCATGCATGCATACGATGCTAAAATGTGAATGTCGTAACTACTCCTTATTTTGTTGAACCATTAAGACAAATATCAGTCAGTCATTTAATATAGGCATTTAAATAGCGAGATATGTAATCATATACTGATATTAAGGAAAGTGTAAATGTTATCACTTCTCTTCGATATGTTGATATCTTCCAAAATCTGGGTTGGTTGATAGTTATAGTCTAGACGTGATAAGAGTTGGACAGTGGACATAGGAATTGGTTTGGGGTTTTTTTGGGTTTTTTATAATGACATTCCGATTTTTTCTTTAATTTTAGAAACATAATGTTTCTCATTTTATCTCAAATCTTCAGACTTACTTTAATTTCTTATGTAAATATGCTGTGGTTGTTAATTACTACAGTTCGTTACCTGAAACACCAGACACATTTTAAACAGATTATTGTTCTCGGAGATGAAACAATGTCCACATAAGGTCTCTGAATTATGGACCAAGCTGATAACAATAACAGATTAAAATATGTATTTTTAGGGCGACCTTTCCAGGTTTACCTATAATAATGAATAGAGCTTTGAATTTCAGATAGGTTGCCACACAACGAAACATACGCTAAAATCTGATTACGAGTAACAACCCATTTGGCTTCAAGTTCTGCCCTATGCTAACATTTACTATACAAAACATTTAATATCAAGGTCTATAACTCTAGCAGTAATTATCGGAAATCGTTGAAAATCAATAGACATCTTCGACTCAGGACCTTATATTATGGTATGTAAATATAAAGTCAATCGGATATTTACTTTTGCCTCTAGAGCTTCACAAGATATTTCAAACTATCAGA